GCCTGTTCACTGTGGGAGCCGGGAACCCGAAACGCCTGATTCAGATCTAAGGATGCCCGTATTCAAAATACCAGTCTTGCATCATACGGTGTGTCAGTGGTGCATCGAGTAATTTAAAACCATTAACTTAACAATAAGTCAGTCCACGCTGGGTTACCAGGGCAGATTTTACACACAGAGGCTTGCTATAATTTAAAAATGTGAATGTTTATAAACAGTTGAGCACAGACGTGGCATTCACCTCTGCCTGCCAATACACAGAAGTGTTGGCTGTCTTTTCCCTTTTTTGAATCACGACGTTACTGATATTACTCTTAAACTGGGAAGTCAGACAGCTGTTTTGGCAGCTATGATCACTCAGGACATAACCCAGAATTTAGAAATTAGCAGATGAAAGAAGACCTCTGGAATCAAAATAGCTACAACTAATCTGTACTTTCTACTTTTAAGGAGGCCATTGACATCTTTTACATGCATTTACCAAACAGCATTGGCTCCCATTAAAAAGGGTACTGTGTTGTTATAAATAGCTTTGTGTGAGTTCTCTTTTGACTTCCCATTAGAATAGGAGATGAATTGGTAGAGTTTGCATTGACTCAGAAGGGCTGCCTAACGGCACACAGCCCTGCCTGCTGCTCAGGTGCAGAGCTCTGCCCCGGGCTGCCCTGCCCACAGCCCCTCCCTCTCCTGTGCTTCTGAAATCCTTAAAGCTCTGGACACCCAGTCTTTGATGTGGATGGACTGAGGCTACTTGGGCTCTGTGTCTCACTTAGTATGAATTTTCATACGTTTTGCTATAGAAATATTACTGTATTTGATTACAGGACTCTGTGTGTGTGTGTGTGTGTGTGTGTGTGTGTGTGTGTGTGAGAGAGAGAGAGAGAGAGAGAGAGAGAAATAAATATATCCTGAATTGCCTCTTAAAACCCTGCAGGTAATAAATTAATTCTAAGGCTCATCTGGCCCTAGGATGACAGGTAAAGGTCATGGTTCTGTAACCTGTCTCCTGATTTCAGTAAGGTGACTTTCTGATTCCTGTGGCAGGTTTGTGAGGGAAGGGGAGCTGTGGCTGCTGGAGAAGGGTCTGTGGACGGTGGCAGGAAGTGGCCCGGCAGCAGCCTAACAATGAGGGACAGGACAGTAATTGAGAGAAGTGGGCAAACACAGACCATTGCTGCCTGGGGCCTCTGCACGTAGAGCCCCACAGCACCCCGAAGCGGTGGACGTGTCCCTGCTCAGAGTGCTGGGCACGAGGATAACCCCGAGTGATCAAGACAAGAGGAGCTGCTATCAGTCTCCCTTATCTCTCTGTGAGCCTGCATGTTGACATGGCCACGTCTGCACGCACGTCTCCAGGCGCCGTTGGACTTTCGCTGATTCTCTGAGCAGCCTGCGGAGCGTGATCAGTCAGGGTTTATGAGGTGTTAGAGACAAGGCCACGTGTGCATTCAAGTTGGGAAAGATTTTAAAGAGATTTTCTTCCCCTGTGTTTTTTATCTTCAGTGGAAATACTTTCTCCACATAGGTTTATAGAAAAACAGACTCTCGACAACAACTAAAAATGAAAGTCCTCATCTGTTTTTGCGGCTGTTGCTGAACAAGGGAAGGGAGGGCGTAAATACGTTGACTTCTATTTATTTATAATACTTGGCCCGTGGAATGTTGGACCGTGTTGTGTCTCACACTTGTGAACATCCTCAGTTTCCGGGGAAGGTGGAGTGGAGACGCCCTCCGCGAGCACATCAGAGCCCTGGCCTCCCCACTTTGCGTCAGGAGTCCTCAGTTTCATATGCTTCTCTGTCATGACATTAAGGACCCCTCCCTTTCTTCCTTTGGGCTGGTAGCATCGAGCACTGAGACTCTGCCTCTAAGCGCAGGCCCACGGCTGGCAGTAGCAGGGCGTCGAGGTGGGAGGGCAGTGCTGCTTCCTTGCTGCTGGTGATGACAATCGCGCCCTCCTCTTGGAGAGAGGCCACTGGGGGTCACCTGAGAACTGGGCGGTCTGGAGCAGCGCTGGAGCCCTCAGGCCCAGGCCGGTGTCTCTGGCCCTTGCCCAGGGAGGAGGGGCAGTGTGAGGATGCTGTGCTGAAATGTGGGTTTCCTTCCCATGCTCTTCCTTTAAACAGGGGACTCCGAAGCTGTTGAGGATGAGTGACTGTGACTTTGTGTTCGAGTGGGAGACCCCGCTGGTCTGTCCCGATGAGGTGAAAACGGAGGGCTGCTCCCTGACGGACGAGCAGCTGCACTACAACTTTAACCTGTCCAGCCTCTCCAAGAGCACCTTCAAGGTAGCGCCGCTCGCCGGGGCCTGTGATCGGGGATGCAGTGAGGCCCACGTGGGTCCCTCCTTGTCTCCAGCCTGGCTTCTGCTGACCAGGGGAGACGGTGGCAGGAGCTGCGAGGTTTCCTGACTTGAGACCCACTGGGGTGTGTGCTGGGGGGGGCTGTTTCTCCCAGCCTCATGTCGTGGACTGTGTGCTGTGTTGATGGGGCTGTGGACATCTCGGGTTGCCAGTGGTTGGGGAACCTCTAGGCCTGTGACATAGATGTTACTGAGTCGTACAGCTGTGGAGCCAGGCCACGAGATCTTAGTACTTTGCGGGGAGGCTGGCGAGCGGTGAGCTCCGAATTGTGTGCCCGGGTTCCAGGGGCCTGGCCCCAGTAACGCATACTTTGCTGGGGCGCAGGCGCTCCCCACAGGTGTGCCGCAGGTGGAGCCTGCAGAGGGAGGGGGGCCGGGGAGGTACATGTGTAGTTAGGTTGTGGCCACTCTGCTTGGGCACTGAGTCTGCAGCACTCCCTGGTTAAAGGTGGGAGACCTGGGCTTCGAGAGTGGGGAGAGCAGCCTGAGATCTCACAGCTGGCTCCCTACCTCAGGCCTGCGGGAGCACAGCTGCTGTCTGGAGGCTGGGCCTGGGGGGAAGGTCAGGGCTGGGGAGAAGGAGGGTGAACTCCAAGGTGCCCACGCACAGCCCGTGGACACAGCCCCCCTCTCCTGCCCTAGCCACCCCTCTGCGGTGCCGGCCCTCTCCCCCAGAGACCCAGTCACAGCCATGCATGGTGATGTCTCTCCAGGTGACCCGAGACTCGCGCACCTACAGCGTTGGGGTGTGTACAGCGGCCACAGGCCTGGATCAAGGTGGCTGTAAGGATGGAGGCGTCTGTCTGCTTTCAGGGAGCAAGGGGACATCTTTTGGGCGGCTGGCGTCAATGAGACTGGATTACAGGCACCAGGACGAAGCCGTCATTTTAAGTTATGCCAATGGAGATAATTGCCCTCCAGGTAAATCTTTGCGGCGGGTGAATTTCAGTTTCCTAGTAAACACGAAATGAGACCTGGTGGCAGGAGTGAACTGAGGGGTGACACCCCAGATGCTGTGAGCCCTGGGACTCTGGACTGGACCTCAGACTACTTGTACTAACAGCCCTGGGTGCCAGCACTCACGTGGTGACTGGGAGGCCTGGCTGTCCCCCTGCTGGTCCAGGGTGATTGTTTCCACGGGGGGGTCCTTGTCCTAGGGGATTGCACCTGGCCGGGCACAGCCAGTGTCATGATGGCAGTCGGGGTCATGCAGATTTCTTCTTCTTTCCAGAAACTGAAGACGGTGAGCCGTGTGTGTTCCCCTTCCTATTCAATGAGAAGAGCTACAATGAGTGTGTCCTGGAGGGCAGGGCCCGGCTCTGGTGCGCGACGACCGCCAACTATGACCGAGACCATGAGTGGGGGTTTTGCAGACACTGTGAGTGGAGCGCCCACATCCCAGAGGCCCGCCTTGTGCTCAGACCTCTGCGAGTGTCCAAATTCATGGCAGTGACTCTGCTGCACATAATCTTTTCTTGTCAGGGCTGTTTTCCATAAAGAAAGGCGGTTTTTTTGGGGGGGTAATTAGGTTTATTTTTTAATGGAGGTACTGAGGAATGAACTCAGGACCTCGTGCATGGTAAGCACGTGCTTTACCCCTGAGCTATACCCTCCCTGCAAGAAAGGCTGTTTTTAAGCTCTCTGTGGGTTGTGCTGCGTTGCCTTGAACGTAGACCTCGGCAGGACCAGGGGCCAAAGCAGGTGCGGGGTGGTCAGCGCGGCTCACTCCCCAGCTCGCAGGACTTTGGTCCACACCCGTTCTCAGCACTGGTGATTCACACTCACGCTGAGCGGAGCTACTGCTGTCACGGGTCTGTGGGGTGTCCAAGGAGTAATCAGGAGTGTGGTGACCGGCTGCACTGCTGGGGGCCTGGGCTGGGAGCTCACAGTGGCCCGGATGTAGCGCCCTTGCCGCTGCTGCGTGCGTGACACAGACCGATGTGAGTTTCCAGGAGGGTGGTGGGATGAATGCAGGAGAACGCGCTTAGTTCTTGTAAGTAACCGGGGAACGCAGTTAGCAGTAAGGACTGAGAAATGCTAACTTACAAGGGGCTGCTACAGTTCTGTCCTGAGGCTTTTCGTGGCAGGACCTTTCTCCTGGGCAGGTGGGTGATGCTCCCAGGTTTAGGTAATTATAGGTATCTTATCATTACTGTTTGTTTTTTGCTGACATTCCTGTATTAATCACATACTGAACACCCGTCTACAAGGAGTTGTGCTGGTGTTGCAGAATTAAGAACTGGGGGAACCAGGTCTATTTAGGCTTAAGATACACGTGAAAGGAACAAAACGAGAGGTGGCCAGCGCAGCGTGGGGAGCGGCTGGGAATGGACAGAGCCCCTAGGTGCTAGCAGCAGAGAGGAGACAGGCTGAGGTCTGACACTTCTTCTGTGTCCCCAGCAAACAGCCACCGGACGTCGGCCATCATCTTCAAGTGTGACGAGGATGCTGATGTGGGGAGGCCACAAGTTTTCAGTGAAGTTCGAGGGTGTGAGGTGACGTTCGAGTGGAGAACAAAAGTTGTCTGCCCCCCGAAGAAGATGGAGTGCAAGTTCGTGCAGAAGCACAAAACCTATGACCTGCGGCTCCTGTCCTCCCTCACCGGGTCCTGGTTCTTCGTCCACGACGGGGCCTCGTGAGTCCCCGCCCCCGCCCCCCTCACCCCGCTCTCGGGCGGCAGGAGCCTACCGTTCCTGACAGGGCAGCTGCTTCCGCTCAGGCTCTGAAGGTGGGGCGGCAACGAGTCTCAGGCCCGGCGTCCAGCAGGCGGTTTGGAAGCAGAGGAAGCGGCTGATCGGCCGTCGGCCTGATGAATTAGTGTCGATTGGGTCTGCATCTGTGAGGGCGGCCGTCCAGGGCTGGGCGTGGGGAGGCGTGTTGACTTTCTCAGCACTGCTGCACAAAGTCCTTTGGCCGCGCTAGCCCGAGGTTGGTCAGTTACGCTGATGGCTCTGTGCGTAGGGCCCTCGGCCGGGGGCTCTGAGGTCCTACATCCTCCCCGCAGAGGGCAGCGTGGCCCTGGAGGACCTCGGTAACCTCGAGTCAGGTAACGACTCGCCAGGGTTTGAGCTGCTGCCTGTCCTGACTCGAAAGCCCTCCTTCTAAAGCCACCACACTCAGGGTCCCCCCCTGTGTGCCTGGGGGGCACACATGCTCCCTTCTTCCGCAGTCAGCCCCTCTTGGGCCTTTGTTTCTCAGGAGATCTGTTCTGGTGCTGCGTCCAAAGGTGTGATGGAGTCTGTGGCTGTTGGAACGATGACTTCTCCCGGAGGGGTGGGAAGAGCTGCCCCGTGTGTGTCGGCATGGGCACTGACCATTGCTCCGTCTGTGTCCTTCCACAGCTACTACATCAACTTGTGTCAGAAGATCTATAAGGGGCCCCTCGACTGCGCTGACAGAGCCAGTGTTTGCAGAAAGAGCCCCTCGGGCGAGGTCCAGGTCTTGGGCCTTGTTCACACACAGAAGCTGGATGTCATAGGTAAGGCCTGGATCCTTGTCACATGGTCACAGGTGCTACTTCTGAGTTGGGAAGCTGAGGGTGTCCTCATGTGACCGGGAGGGTCAGCTCTGGCTTGGTTGAAACTTTTGGCGGCACTCTCAGTGACTCTTTCTCTGGCATTTGGCACCTCCCAGAACATTAAAGTAAGTTCTGCCCGAGATGCTTTGAGGCAGCAGATCACAGCCTGTGTGTCCAGAGGGCTCCGGGATCTCGGGAAGGTACCTGTGCCCAGGAGGAGGGTGGAATGTTCAGGGTCCCTCGGAATCTGCTCCAGCTGTGGGTTGCGTCTGAGTCTCCGTAGACACATGCGAGCATTTATTCTGGAAAGTCAAACGGTGACAGAACCTGGTAAAGACAATTCAGGAGGATGTTTTTGTAGGGTCTTAATAATTTGTAGATAAATAATGAAGCTTTTTTGAATAGTTTTAATAGAAAATTTATCTTGCAGTTGGTTGTTGAGTGAACAGTTCACTATGTAAAGGAAGGGTGGGGCTCTCCTGGTTTTGGAACAGTCGGGGTGTGTCAGAGGGCAGGAAAGGAGAAACGCTCACTTTGCTTGTTAGGCTAGCGTAGGGGTCCCTGAGTTGTCCTGATTAAACCACAGGGAGATTACATCTGCTCAAGCTGTGGAAATGGAGGAAGGGGATTCTGAGGGAGCCACTGTCACCCTTAAGAAAAACCCTGCAAATTGGAACTGAAGGCGAGTTGCCCTGAGGGGGTGGGTGGCCAGACCTCCAGCCTGGCTCGCCCTCTGTCGGAGATGGTCCCACCTGCTCCTGGAGGGCGCATCATGGCCCGAGGGTGGCTCTGTCCCAGCCGTCTCATACTTATGTTTGGATATTTGACCTGACTCTCCCTCGGTTTCCCACAGCCAACTCGTAAAGCAACATTGAAGCCTCACCAGATTAGCTAGTAAAACTCCCTGTTTCCCGACACAGCGGGTGGGGTGTTACTCTGAGGTCCTTCCAGGGCAGCCGTCTAAGGACAGTCACCATGGCCGCCGCGTTCAGTTAGGGCATGTTGCCTCATGGGATGAAGAGATGGACTCTTGTCCCAGAACTAATAGTCCTGTATGACAGCCATGCTTTGTATGTTTGTGTGGGTGTATGTGTGTGATCCTTAGCAGCGGTCCGGGTAGGTATTGAGTCCATTTCACAGGTGGAGTAACTGAGGCAGGGAAGGTTGAGTGTGTTGCCCGTCTGCTGTGGGGGGCACTCTGCCATCAAGACCTGTGCTTGTTGGCTCCATATTCCAGCCATTTAAGAATTCCTCCTTAAAGCTGTGAAACTGTTTCTTCCAAAATTTCACACAGAGCCCAATAGGTAAAACAAATTCACCCAAAGTAGCTGGGCCTCACTTCTCACCCCCCTTTGAGTGGTTCCCTGGTCCCCTGCACCTTGGCCGTGCCCTGGAGGTCCCCTGGGCAGCTGGTACCTCGCCTGCCTCCGCATCCCCTGCCTTGAAGGACAGAGGTTGGATGTGTGAGAGTTGGGCTGGAGGGTGTGCTCCCTTCGAGGACCGCCCCATGCGGGCCCCCGGAGCCGCCATCTGTCCGCCGAGCTGCGTGGGCTCGGGCCCCCCGGGACAGCTCTCGGTGGCCACTGGGAGAAGCTGGCACCAGCAGCAGAGTTGGCTGGCTTGCCACGCTGGCCCCTGTGAGACGTGCAGCTGAAAGCGTGTCCCCACTTTTCTTTGACTCTGGAGGCTCGGGGCCTCAGCTGCTGCTTTTACCTTCTTCATCTTCGGGGGCAGAGAGAGCTCCGCGTGGAGCCAGGAGATCTGAGAAACCCAGAACTACCCCGTCTGGCTTTTCACTTTGTCGGGCGGAGGTCTGGCACCTGCGCTGTTGTTACTGGGAGGCTCGGGTGTGAGGGTGGTGGGGAAGGCCCCCAAAAGTACACAGAAGTGGCACAGAGCTGGGGCAGTGATGGTAGCTGCGGGTACTGGGTCTGGCTCCACGCACGCGCTCTGAGGGCATACCCCTTCCAGCCCCGAAGCTGCTCACTTCAGGGGAGTCTTCCTGTCGCCCAAGTGAGGAGACAGCCCCGAAGTCAGCAGCCCAGTTGTGGAACTGGTGAGCGCAGGGAGCGGGGCTGGGACTTGAACCCGGGTCTCCTCTGGCCGTGCAAGTAGTGACGTGGGCCCAGCGCGGTCACCAGGCTTGGCGGTGCTGATAACCCAGGCAGTGAGTCTCCAGAGAGACAAATGTTTGTCCTTAATGTAGGTTTTGACTTTGACATCGAGGCTCCTGGGAGGCAGTGGAAATGACGTCAGTTCAATCCCCTGTGTTTCAGATGACAGAGTCATCGTGACTTACTCAAAGGGCCATCAGTGCGGTGAAAACAAGACGGCGTCCACTGTCATCGAGCTGACCTGTGCCAAAACAGTGGGCCGGCCTTCGTTCACGCGGTGAGGGTGTAGGGGTCCCTGGGGGAGCTGTGCCCGGGGTGGGCCGGGACCCCGTCACAGTTTCTCCCTATGGCTTCCACTTGTAGGGTTGGGAGTGTGTGGGCAGCGGGGAGGGTGCTTGGGTTCCACAGTCGAGAGGGGGCCTGGCCGCTGAGACTTAGGGCCTGAGTGGGGCCAGGGCTGCCCTGCCCAAGGAGGAGTTTCTGCATGGAGGCTGGGACACATGTACTAGACTAAAACAGGCTTTAACTGGCTCCGTCTTTGAACGTCACTTTATAACCAAGAGGGCCCTGACTGGTGCCACCCAAGGCCAGCTGTTCAGGCAGCCTGTCTGGGACCCGCGGGCAGGTGGGGCAGCACCTGGGATGTTCTTGGATTAAACTGGGAATCTCTAGGCAGCTCCGAGTCTGGTGCGGGAGGAAGGCGTTCTGCCAACAGAGACAGCACATGAGCCGCTATTTGCGAGCAAACCGATTCCTCCCAGAAGCTGGGCTTGGAAGGGGGAGACCCAGGTGCTGTCGGAGAGCAAATCAAGCTAAGAGTCTGAGGAGCTTGTAAAGTAAACATTCCAAAGTCTCCATGCACATTTTCCCAGCTTTTAGATGTTTATTTTAAAAATAGGTGACTTGCCTCCGTAGTCACGTCGTGGGTGTGCCGGAGGGTCGCCTTCCCGGTGCTGGTGCTGAGATGGGCCGGTAGAGCAGCCCTGCCCGCCGGGGCGGCCTGCCCCTCGCTGGGCAGAGGCATGGGCAGTGGGGGCCGTCGGGTCGATGGCTGTGACCAGGCCCATGTGCGCCCTGCAGGTTTGACATCAACAGCTGCACCTACTACTTGAGCTGGGAGTCACGGGCTGCCTGCGCTGTGAAGCCGCAGGAGGTGCAGATGGTTAACGGCACCATCACCAACCCTGCCAACGGCCGGAGCTTCAGCCTCGGGGACATTTATTTCAAGTAAGTGGAAAGTTTCCCGTTCAAGTGCTGCCCCTCACTCAGGTCCCCCCCTGGCCGGCGGCTGTGAGGTAAACAGGCCCGTATGTTTCAGTCACCTTTCCAGGTAATTGTCAGCTTTTACTCAGACAGAAGGACAGCGTGACTCCACCACTGACACTAATGATGGTGAATTGTCTTGAGTGTAAAAATAAAGCCACACCTTCTCCCTCACTTCATGATAAGCCCGGGGTTCGGAGCTGGAACCTTCCGGGCTCACTGGCACGAGGAAGAAGACTTCGTTTCTCCACAGTGTCACTGGGGGGTGGTCTCGGGGTCCGGGGCCGTGCCGGGCAGCGTGTGAGGCTCCGAGCACAGAGGGTGGGGCAGTAAGATGGTGCCCTCGGCCCCTTCCCGGCTGGGAAAGGAGCTGGGGCCAGCGTCCCGCGGCCCTGTCCCGTCCCCGGGGCTCTGGGTCCAGGTGATAGAGGGCTTTCTCTAAGGACTGTGGAGTCACCACGGCCTTTTTCATGTATCCAGGCGATTCAGTGCCTCTGGGGACATGAGAACGAATGGGGACAAGTACCTGTACGAGATCCAGCTGTCCTCCATCACGGGCTCCTCCAACCCAGCGTGCGCCGGGGCCAACATCTGTCAGGTGAAGCCCAACGACCGGCACTTCAGCCGGAAAGTCGGAACTTCCGACAGAACCAAGTACTACGTTCAAGGTAATTCTCTCCACGAACGCCCCACATTTAACCTCCTGGAAGGAACTTCAGCATCTTCATAAACGCCCCTGAGTTGAAACCTCAGGTCGATTTTCACACAGAAGCCCTGGTCTGACCCTGCGTCTGTCACGTGGGCCTCGTCAGACGGGGCGAGCGGCGCGTGTGGGACCCGAGCGTTTCACTGCGGGTCAGCTTCACCTCATAGACAAACAGGCCAAACCTGGGCCAAAGCAGAGGTGGGGCGGTGGGGCGGAGGTGGGGCACAGTGTGCACGTCCGGAATCGCCTTCCATTCGGTTTTAGTCAGGATGTGTCTTTATTTTGAAACTGCAGATGTTCTTACAGGAAGATAGGAGACTTCACGCTTGTAGGAAGGATGGGAAAGAGCTGACCTAGGGATTCGGGTGGGCGTGTAGGTAGCCATCACGCTGCACTAATGGGGCTGTGGTCCTTTTTTTTTTTTAATTCCAGTTCTTTTTTTTTTTTAATTCCAGTTTTATTGAGATAGAAGTGACATTCAGCACTGTGTAAGTTTAGGGTGCCCAGCATAATTATTTGACTGACTTACATCATGAAATGACCACAACAAGCTTAGTGAACATCCATTGTCATAGATAGAACATTAAAGAAATGGAAAAAAATTGTTCCTCTTGTGATGAGATCTCTTAGGATTTATGCTCAACAGCATACTGCAGTGTTAATACTGATGTTTAGCATGTGGCACATGACATCCCTGGTGCTGATTTATCTTGTAACTTCACCCAGTTCCTCCTCCCCCCACCTCTGGGAACCATCAGTCTGATGTCTTTTTCTGTGAGTTAGTTGGTTTTTGAAGTGTAATTGAGCTACAGCACTGTGTTAGTTCCTGTTGGACAACACAATGATACGGTATTTCTCTGCATTTCTGAACGGTCACCACGGTAAGTCCAGCTGCCGCCTGTCACCGCACAGAGGTATCTCATGGGCATTGCCCGCATTCCCCACACTGTGCTCCATCCCGTGGCACACGTGTTTTGCAATTGCAAGTTTGTGTCTCTTTCATCTGCTTCTTTCCTAATTCCTTTTTGACCTTGGAAGAATATTTCCAGGAGGCCACTTGTGTATTTTTGGTTTAAACAAATTTGATTTGATTTGTAAACCAGGTGAATAAACTCGCTTTTTTTAAAGTTAAGTGAGTTTACAAAACCAGCCGACTCTGATGTAAAAAGGGCTGCTGAGAGATTCCCTGGGTGGAGGGGCAGCTGCTCCCCAAATAGGTGTAGCCTGGAAGTTTCTGTGCCCATGTATGGGGCCATGGGGCCTGGCAGAGACCTGCTGGGTCAGCCTGACTCACTGTCATGTGTCCTCGTCATGGAGTCAGCCCACTCGCCTTCTCTGCTTTGCCAGTAATTCCGAGTCAGATGCTGGAGTCGCACACTGGCTGGGTTGGGCCTTCTCTTGAGGTGCTGTCCTCTGGGCCTGGCCCCGTAGTAAGTGCTTGGCAAATGTTTGTTGACTGACTGAAGGACTGCTTTAAAAGCCTCTTACGATTCCCTGTGATGCAGAGAAGGAAAGCCCTGGAAGATTTCAGAAGACTTGTTTTATTAGCGGCCGGTGCTGCAGACACGCCCAGATGATTCACGAGCTCCCTCAGGCTTCGTGTACCCTCTGTGCAGGCCATTCTGCTGGCCTCAGCCCACCCACCCTCCTCCTCCTGCCAAACTCACTCAGCTCAGTGTCCCCTTCTCTGCAAAGCCCCTCTCCTCAAATCCAGGGTCACTGCTGTTGTGTGGCTGCAGCAGTGGTCAGACTCCACAGCACAGCGCTGGTAGGGGGTCTGGTTACGAGTGAGAACCTTCATGTCTGTAAGGCCCCATCTCATCAGCCTCCTGTGGCTCCGAACTTCAGTGTATGTGTGT